CCTCTTCTTTCTCTTCTCCTCCTACAATTTGTTCGTATGTACTGACAGACTCATTTTTTTGCAACACAAAATAGATTTGGACATTAGACTTTAAAATGTAAAGAAGTCTCTTCAAATAAAAAATTATTGTTAATGACAAGATTTTTCCAACTTCTAGATTTTCTTCTCCTTAGCATTTCATTTTGGTTTGTACACTTGCTCTGGTCTACAAGACAAGCACAGCAATACTGTGGTAATATAAATAATATGATAGCTTCTACAATGGTTTCAATTACAGTCTTTCTTGACTGTAGCTTACCATCAGCACATATCTGAGCTTTGTTTCTTAGAATCCCTGCAATTTAAAATAAAAACTACACACAATCTAGGGCATACTAATGGTCCTTTCTTAAAAAGTATAGGCTTTGTAGGACCCCACTTTCTTTTTAGATTTAAAACACATTTTCTGTATTTGAATGCAATTCAGAAATACTCCAAACTTTCACTAAAATATAACTATATTGATGCATTAAAAAAATCTTTACAATATTTCCTAACTTATTCAAGAATCATAATGATAATCCGCCATTACAATAGCCACATTACTTATTCACACAATTTCTCTTCTTTCAAGTAGTTACACTGTAGGTTACACAAGGTATTACATTATTTATGACCCTTGGATTGGCAAATTACTTTACCTGGAAGATTATCATGGAGTCATACTGAGGTAAACATATTTGCTATCTGCCTCATTCTTTTAACAATGTGTGTCATTCCTCCAGTACGGATAAAAGCCATTTTCCAAGTTCTGAGCTACAGCATCCTTTAGAATAAATTACCAAGAAATGAAAATGGAAGCACTTCTCAAAATTTAAGATGCATAAACAAGGGAATGCCAAGCATTAGTATGTCCTGCATGTTATTTCAGTGATTTCTTCTGGGAATGTATGTTTCAGTACTTCAGGGATGAAGTTTTTTCCCCAACATTAGTGAAACAGGTGTGACTTAGTCATGTTTACCAATTAACTTTTCAAACAAAGTATTTTGTATGAGACAACATACAAAAGTTAAACTTAATTTTTTAAAATTATCTTATCACCCTTTATTTTCAGGTGCTTCACAACGATATGACAAAATAAAGTATCACAATCAGTTTTATGCAAATAAAAAATTAGTATCAACAAGTTCCAAATCTCTATATATTGAATACAATCAATCATAAATAAAAAACATGCATTAAATTATAACTATTTCTATATTATAAAATATCATGTGACCCAGTTCTTTAAGACATTGGATTTTTCACAAATATATAACTTACATCATATAAAAATTACAGTATACATTCTTACTTTTATTATGTTACTGTATTATTGCATTGGAAAGAAACTTTAAGTGACTATTAATGATACATTTGAGAGGCATTTCAAAGTGTTTCACTATAAATTAATAAAACCATGTCTTGCAATGCAATTTTTCCTGTGTACTTATGTTAATTTTTCATTGTTTAACAGGTTTGCATACTGGGTCTGAAATCTTCAAGAGATCAAGTCAGGCACATATATTTACAATGAGGACTCGCAAGCATGGCATAACATAGATTTGAATTTGCTTTTTTAAAGCCATTGCATAGCACCTTTACTATAAATTATTAATACAGAGATGTGGCTACAGTTACTTGTAGTTATCTAGAACAGAACAAGCCATCTGTAGAGTATTATATAAAATGTGGAGGTTCAGATGTCTGAACTGAAGAGGGCAGGCACCTTTTTAGATTTGACAGAGAAACACTTCACAAAGTGGCAGCTGAGTAATAAAGATTCACAGTCACCATTCCAATATTTGTCTGAGAGCAGATTAGTAATGTGATTTGGGCTGCCTTCATTTCAGCAAATACATTCCAAACTTCTCTATAATAACCTGCATCTTTTTTGGTACCTCTAGAAATTTCTCTCACCATGTGTCTCACACGGGTGGACAAGACAATGACTGACTCTAATAGAAATTTATGTTAGCAAAGAACTATTATAATATATCGTATTCCAGGTTTTACTAAAAAATTCCTTCCCACTACTAATAAATCTATGCTCCAGGACAAAGAAATACTGAGAGATTGATTATGGTCTTTCTGAAAGCAAAGAACATACCAGGACAGGATATAAAAGTTTTCGTACTTTTTTGTCCTATTTTCTTTGGCTGCAGATAGGGAAACAGTCACCTTTAGCTGTACCTGTTTCAGTGTCAAACCTCAAGCCTCCGATTTTTGTCCCAGCTTTTCAAGTGTGTGGGGATACTAAACAAAAACTGTCAATAGAAAACAAACTAAAAAACCCTACTCTGTCTTGTAGAGAAGAAGGAGAAAGAGAAATCTCAACCGATGAAAAAACTAAACTAAGTGACAGCAGTAGGCAAACCCTGTACTGGCTCACTCCTCTCATCCACCAAGAAGAAATAACACAGCACAGGGATACCATTTTATGAACTCTAGAACTGTATTCCTCATGGTGTTCATTCATCAAAGTGGGTAGGAGCAATAATTTTAAATTATGTCCTAGAAAATGTACCTAAGACTTCTGAATAACAATTTAACTCTGAGGTATAGTTCTATTACAATTTTGCCCCAACGAGTAATTTGAGACTGAAATACAGCCTAAGGAAAGCTTTCTGTATCATGTCCATTTACAGCATGAACTCCTTGTAAAATCAGGGGTTGTAATATGAACTGCTTGCATGAAACATCTAATTCTTGACTGCCTAACCACCAAGGAGTCCAATGTACCTTTTGCAGACCAGACACTTTCATTTCTATGAAGAGGTTTGAGTGGTAACGCCCTTAAAGTTTGGAAAGGACCAGACTAGCTTTTGGCATTGCAGATAGAGGACATTAAGGCTTACTCTTGCCTGGAAAGTGCAGACATGCTTGTTCCTTAACAAGTTTTACTTTTTTTCCCCAATTCCCTTCCCCATCCCACTGGGTGGGGCGGTAAGCGAGTGAGCAGCTGCGTTGTGCTTAGCTGCCAGTTGAGGTTAAACCACAACACTATCCAAGGCAGCTTCTCTCCCTGCTCCCAGAAGACTAATTCCTGTACATAGTTTTCCACCATGTACTAAAAAATGTCACCACAGTAAATCCCTACAAAATCCATGCAAACCTGCATCATCTTACCTTTCTTGCTGACTTGTTGTGGTAGCTTATCACTCAAAGGACATAAGTCAGAATTTAAATAGAATCTAGGAAGTAGAGCAGATGGCTTTTCCTTTATATTTTTTTATCCAGAATCTGATCAAAGGGAGATAGATAATACAATTTCTGCCACCCAGTCTTGCACTTGAAAACGATTATTCCTTCACCATTTTCACTTCCTGCTTTATGTCTTCATCTGTTTCCCTGGAAATGGTATATGAAGCCCAGCCATCTAATTTTTCTACTCCTCTCTCTGTGATGGAACACTAAATGTGTTTTGTCCAGGAGCTCTGTGAAGATTGTTTTAATATCCTCTGATTGCTGCCTGAATTCTGACAGCTTCCTGGGCCTTAAGAGATGATTAAAGAAACAAAACACATTAAATTCCAAGTCAGCTGTCCCAAGCAAGTTTAACTAATAGAATTCTTCTTCTTTAAACTTCACATTTACTGACTTCACCTTCCATTGGACTCTGTATAACAAAGTCCAACAGTTTGCCTGAAATTTGGATTCCAAAATATCAATACTTATCTGTTTCGGAACTATCATAAAAGCTTTACTTTTTCTTTTGCTCATTCATCATTTGTGCCTTGTGCACATTCCATAGTGCAGTATCTCCTCACAACTTCTGCTAGCCCCACAGTGACACTAGAAATTCTGTTTGCCTGTATTTCAGTAGTCATTTGCCTTTGCATCAGCAGCCTTAGGAGAAGGAATCAGGTTATGAATCTCTTCTTCTGGAGAACAGGAGCAAATATCCCTTCACATCCCCGTGCTGAGAATACATTAATAGGAAGCAGCATTTCTTTTCAGGTTTAAGTCTTCCAACCAAACTACCTATTTGTATAATTTGTTCTTGCTTCCCCACCTCAACTTTACAACAAAGCACATACTTTCATTAATCGAAAGGTAACTGAATTCAACAGATTGAAGGACAAACTACCAGCACAGTGTCCTTTTGCAGTCTGTGTACTAGGAAAGTGCCACAGCAGATGCAGATGAGATTACCTCTAGGCAGCAGGCTGATTATCACTGTGTACTGATAATGAGTTGCACTTCGAAGACCACCAGATCTATTCCAACCATTATAAGAGTGTTTTGAAGAGAAATGGAGGATGAACAGAAGTATAGTGATTCAAACAATGATAAAAGCAGCGTTTGAAAGTTTCATCCTAGGAAACTTAATCAATTTCTGATTTCATTCTTATGAAAAAAAGACAGAATTTCACAGAAATCCTACCAAGATCAATGGGTATTGCATACAAACTTCTGCAAAGAAAAGTTGGCTGCCTATTACTTTTGCCTATTACTTGTCAACATTTTAAACCTCAAAACTACAGAAGGTTTCCATCTTCCTAAACGTTGCTAATGCATTCTACATAAATTCAAACAATATCAGTTTCATGGATTAAGCAATTTGCATACAGTTCTTCAAAGTATTAGAAGTACATGAAAACTAATGCATAGTCTATAAAGGATGTATTAGAGGTCAGTTGTGTGTTTTTTCCCAACTTAAATAATATTTAAAGACACAAGAAGTATGCAGGACAAGTTGTTTCCATTCACTTTTGTGAAAGAGGCAAACAACAAATGACTTTGTGATGAAAAAAAAAGTGACTTGTTTATAGAAGCATTAAAGATAACGCTATTTGTATCATGTTAACAACCGACTTTTTAAAGGTACTCAGACCAATAAGAAGTTGCACTTCAGTCCAAAGCTGAAAGAAAAAAGACAAAGAAGCCTCTGCCAACCCCACCCATCACATTGTTCTTTTAGATCAATGAACATCTGAGCTGAAGTATAGAGATATCTTTACATTTTCAAATATCCTTTGTAAAGTGACATTTATTAACAAGCTTGGCACAGAGAAACCTCATTGTGAGAAGACACTGACAATCCTCACTTTCTCAGTGTCTCACTGACACTGACAATAAGTGAATTCTCACTACTTCCAAGTAGTGACAAACGAAATATTCACTGAACAGAATCATCTAAGTCAGTAATACAAACTGGGATATAAGAAAATACCTGATTAAATTATACGTCATGGAGTATGTATTGTAAGGATTATTCCTTCCCTTCTTCCCCCCGCCCCCATCTGTAATACTTTGTAAAGATTTGTAAGCAGATTTGTCTTAGCTTCTAGTACTGTACATATCCACATCTTCTGGGCTGGACTGACCATGGTCCATAAGTTTTGGATCAGGCTTAAATTTTGGTTTCTTTGCTGTTCCTGTGGGAGATATTAAAGTAGTTTAATTAAAAAAAATACACATTTGAGCTGTAGAAAAAAAAGCTTACTGACATGTGTTGAGAATTACTGTATTACCAAACACTTACAAAAGATCAAAATACATACGTTCTAGTTCAAACTGTATAAGTGATACAGGACGATGAAGGCATGTTGTAATTATTAGCTTACAGCAGTGGATGGAGAGCAGGTCTTCCTCCTACTCTCTATAATAATACTTCCTGAACACAGCAGGGTGAGAGAAGAAATAGTGATGCTTTGCCCTACACATGGAAAGGAAGGGAAAGTTTGGGACGTGGAAAAAAAATCTCCAGTCCTTCTTCCCCCACTGCTCCCAGGAGCACAGCTGTCTCCCAAAACCAACTGCATCAGTATCTTCCCTGAAGCTGCTGCCAGATGGTAGGAAATCCAAATTAAGACAAACACTCTTACATAGTTTCACTTCATGACTTCCAAAACTAAGTTTACTAAAACGTTGAGCCCTCACACTTTAATGATACTTTAATTCCAGAGGATCTAAGAGAATATAAAGGCAGGTTTTTTAGGACTGTGCCTCTGATTACTAGTCTGCTTCTTTTCGAGCTACATCAGTTGGTTTAACAAAGGGTGCTATGTTCTCCTGAAAGCTTTGCCCCTTTTGGACTAGTGAAAATAAACATCTCTGAAAACACAGATTAATTTAGGGCATGGATATTTTTGGCTGTGTTAGGGACATGAACCAATTCCAACCACGAAAGCAAAGACAGAAGATATATAAAACCATTAAAGACAGTCTGGCCTGAAGCGAATGTAAAAACAGATCAAAGCATTACACAAACTAAATTAGAAAAAATACAGGTGCAAAGCAAAGGAAGGTGTGAATGTGTATTATAGTGAAAATAAAGGAAACAAATAATTAAAAACCCATCCAAATATGTTCCGCTTGCTTTCCAGAAAAAAAAAAATTCTGGTAAAGAACACAATAAAAAGAAGTAAGCAAGTTTAAGTGACGAGTAAAATCTGAAAACTGCCCCTACAAAGGTAACAATATTTTAAAACAAATTTAGTTCTCATTTAACAGGTAATTCTACTACTTCTCTTAGCAATTGGCCTATCAAAATATTTGTATGTTAAATATGCTGCTACATGATCTAGTCGACTAGCTCGACCACTTAAGAAGCACGAAAGTACCACTGCAAAAAAACAGCAAAATAAAATCCAGTGCTTCATTTGTCAATTACACATTTTTCTTTTAACAATATCTGAAGATAAAGAACCTGTACAGAGAAATGAACAGTAATTCAAATTAGCTGTTTTCACAAAAATCCAGCAGTAATCCTTTAAATTACACTTATAGTATTCCAACAACAGAAGGGTAATTTAAAGTAGGCATTTAACAGAAGTACTTGATGATATCATCTCATTGCTAACAATATGGGATATGGTCCACACCATATGGAATGAAAGAAAACATTATTGAGAGAGAACAACAAATATATAAGAATTCTGATACTGTGACAGGGTCCACAGTGAGAAAATTATCACCTCCCCAAGGCTCTGAAGTATATATTAACTGACAGTGTGTACAATACATTCTCAAGGATATGCTATGACAGTCTGCTCCATTTTAAAGCAAGGGTAACTCCAAAATTAAGTCAAGTAATTGGATTTGCAAGTTGCCCTGAGATTACACTTGAAATGTTTAATTCACCTGATGAAGGCACTGGATCTGTATTACTCCAAGACTCTACTGGAGAAGATTCTGTTCTGTTAAATGATCTTGACTCAATAGCAGACTCAGGTTTTGTACTAGAAATTTCTTTCTTTTTCTTATCTTCTTGTGTAACTGATTTTGACTCTTGCTGCAGCTGTGAACCAAACATTAATACAAAAATGCACATGGGTATATGCTTAATACATTATTGCAAAATAAACCTTTCAAGTCTGAAAGCTTATCTTTTATGAAATTATTTTCAGATATGACATCATGTAATGATATTCAACTCATAGTGTTAAAGTCAGCTGCACTCAAGGGACACAGCTGGAAAAAATAAAATGCATCAAAGAACCCCACAGTTCAGATATAATAACTTCAAATTCACATGTAAGGAAATTTATTTTGTCACAAGTATATACTTAAGTGATACTGTGCTTTTACCTGAGACCCTCAAAGTACTTCACAAGGAAGTCACTGCATTTTCAGACTGAAATAGTATTTCATTTTTACAGAACACTTACTACCCTCAGTTAACAGAAGATGGAAAGATAAATCATGGTAACACCCTAGTAATGAAAAATAGTATATTGGTTTGGTAACAGGCTTCACCCAGAGAAAAAAATAAAGTTAACAGAAACCATCTTTACCACATCAGTTCTTGTTTCACTATCAGTTTAATGACATTTATCTGAACCTCATTTTCAAAACTCAGAATTCCATTTGTGCTCCTCAGTGGAAATAAAAGATGAGGACTGCATACAAATGAACACCATAAATTCAAAGCAAAATACTTCTAAATGTTAATATAACTGGGAAACTTTAATCTTCTTTTGAAAAGAGGAAAAAAAAAACCAACCCCACAATCACTGTGCAAAGCTGAAATTTTACTCAGGGAAGTACTACTTTTGTCAAGGGTTTATAATTTCCACTGGAGAAAAAACCCCTTCAGGTTGCAGAAAAACCAGGCTTAACTCTGGGATGTACTAGCCCAAATTCCATATGGAATTTACAGGCTGTTAATATTCCTCTTTACTTAGGGCTGGCAAGGCCTCAGCTGGTTTACTATGTTCTATTTTGACCACTTAAAAAAACCAAACAACACAAGCCACACACAAAAAACCCTAAAAACAGAGAAAGGAGAGAGAGAAACTACAGAAAGCTCAGAGGAGAACAAGAATTACGTAGGAGTTGGAAAGCCTGCTCTATAAGAAAAGATTATACTAGGGAGAAGATAATGTCAAAAACCATGATAAATTTTCCATACGTAATAGGTCAATATGAAGAGGTTACTGACCATGTATTCACTATGGCTGCAATGAGGACAGGACAAGTTAAAAAAAAAAAATCAGACAAGGACAATCTATATCACAGGGTAATTAAAACAGACTACCTGGAAGGGTTGTGGAATTTCTTTCACTGATCTGTTTAAGACTAGGCTAGTCATACCCACTGTCATTCTGTGTGTCTTTATCTTAAATACAGTGGTCTGCTTAGGACCCAAGCTTGAATCAGAATGGATTATTTTTGTCAAGATCAAAAATGAACTATAAGAGAAAGTCAGTCTTCTCTTGTGCATCTTGCATGTATTGTGGGACTACATAGGGGATCGCACGATCTACTGGTCTGAAATGCATAACAAATAAGACATAAATTAAACACTGAAGTTACAAAAATATCAGAGGGGGGTTTTGTGCCTCACTTAGCGCAATTAGTAATCTTAAACAGTATCAGCAGAATAGTACTTGGCCTTCTAATTTCCTTTTTTCTCCCTTTGAATTTATGAGTTACAGTCATTACTTCAGAAAGCCTACCTTCGTGCCATCTTCATTTTTTGCCCATAGTGATCGCACAGCTTCATAGATTTGATGGCTTGCAGAAAATAACTTTTTCCCTGTTACCTATTTTTTTAGAAAAAACATAATTTAACAACAGCTTTAAAAATACTAAGATACACAGACTATTCAAATGAAATGCATCTTATTTGCATGAGAACATGCTTGACCCCATGCTAAGACATTTTAATCATCTACTTTTCAAGATCTAGTGCATGTTTCTCTTACATCAAACGAATCCTAGATAATGTTTAAATAGGTATTAGAAATCCACAGGTAGCATTCACATGCTACATCCACCTACTCAAAATGAAATCAAAACCTGATCAGCAAACAGTGTTTTGGCAGTGTTAGCACAACAGACTGGAGCAGCAGCTTTAAAGGATCTAAACTTGTCTCACTATGTTGGAAATGATCAAAGACAGTAACACAAAAGGAAAAAGCCCCAAAAGATGACCTGGCCCATGTTAGTGAGCAGTGCTTTGCTTTACAAATGGCCAAATCCTTCAGTCTATTTTTGAAAAGTAATTTTATAATACTGCAGTAACTATGGAGTACCTTTACAAATGCTCTGCAGAAACAGAATACTTCAGAGTTGCAACTACAAAAAACTGTGCAAAAGGTGATACAGAATGTAAGTAGATAGGAAACAAGGATTTAGCTTCCTGAGATAGGTCATAATGTACAGTGTAGCATTCCTATTAATTTCTCCATCTTCCAACCCTCACATTTAAGTTTTATGACAATAAGCCAAGAAATTCCACTGCCTCTTGAGAAACAGTAATCCTCACTGATTTGCCTATAAGAAAAAAACCAACATATCAGTTTAGCAATATGAGATTGCCCAAAGATTTTAACCTCAGTATAGGTCTTTGTGATATCTTCCTAAGTACTCTGGAAGTATAAAAATACCAAACAAAACCACTTCACTAAAATTAATAACAATAGCAACTGATTCACCATGATGGAAAGTTAGAGCTTAAATAGTAATTTTTTCAATCAAATTTCAGGGTAATGTCCCACAAATTTTTCTGTCAAAACTTAAACCTGATCATTTAACTTAAAGATTGGTAAGTCCTAGAACAAAACACGACTAAACTAATTTTCCTGTCTCATCAGATTAACACAGAAGGGCAGTTTTGAAACTATAATACAAAGTTCGTCAGGGAACTACAAAGAATTCTTATGAAGCAGTATGTGCTCTTCTAAACAGGGAAACACTGGAAAACTATAGAGAAGGAAGAGATATTGTCATAGTTTAACGCCAGCCAGCAACTAAGCACCACGCAGCCGCTCACCCACTTCCCCCCCACCCAGTGGGATGGGGGAGAGAACTGCGGAAAAAAGTGAAACTCGTGGGTTGAGATAAGAATGGTTTAATAGAACAGAAAGGAAGAAACTAATAATGATAATAATAACAATAATAAAATGACAGTAGTAGTAATAAAAGAATTGGAACATACAAAACAAGTGATGCACAATGCAATTGCTCACCACCCACTGACCAATGCCCAGTTAGTTCCCGAGCAGCAATCCCCCTAAGGCCAACTCCCCCCAGTTTATACACTGGGCATGACGTCACATGGCATGGAATAGCCCTTTGGCCAGTGTGGGTCAGCTGCCCTGGCTGTGTCCCCTCCCAACTCCTTGTGCCCCTCCAGCCTTCTCGCTGGCTGGGCATGAGAAGCTGAAAAGTCCTGGACTTAGTCTAAACACTCCTCAGCAACAACTGAAAACATCAGTGTTATCAACATTCTTCTCATACCGTAGTCAAAACATAGCACTCTACCAGCTACTAGGAAGACCATTAACTCTATCCCAGCTGAAACCAGAACAGATATATAGACTATATATCCTGCTTTTCAATTCACTTTTTGTGTAGAAAAGTACTGCGTGTAAACAGTTCTTGCACACAAAATATTAAGTATAGCTCTCCTTTTCTACATAAACAACTAAGACAAATTCTAATCAGGTAGATAACTGCAAGATGACAGTAACTGGAAAACAAGGAATTCTAACAAGAGATGCAGTCATACAGTATCTCAAACTGCCCATCTATCAAGTTCAGCAAAGCTTTATTTTTTATTTACTTTTATTTCAGCAATGATCTTCGTTTATTTGAGAAATGAGGATTAAAATTTGAAAGGCTACACAACTGCATTTTTAAATTCAGTCAGTTTATTCATTTTTTTTATAGTTATGCAATTAACACCTGTGATGGATTATATGTTTTAATGAAGATGCATGTGAATTCTGACTCCCAGTCCCATGACACTTAATTCAAGTGAAATGGGAATGCTATGACTAAATTCATTGTTAATATTAATAGACAAGTAAACTTACCTTAGCGATTACCACTGATTGAGCTGGGTAACAAACAGAAATTCCTAAAGTAGTAAGTCCCAATGGATAAGCAATTTTCTTAAATCTAGAATCTGTATAAAGCCAAATATTTCAAATAATTAGACACTAACAAAATGTAAGGCTAAGCAGTTGTATCAATTAAAAGCAATTGTTTAACACCTAACCATTGTTTACATCAAACTTATCCCCATAATGGCTGGAGGAAAAAATACACAGTGTGATTACACTTCAGTGCAGTCACGTTTGCAGGAGATACTGATATTCTGAATATTGGTTCCTTGAATGAGAAATAATCCCAAATTAGATTTTCCAGTACTGTGAAAAATAAGAAGAACATCTGTGTCACTTAGGAGCTGCTGTGGTTCTTTACTAGCTCCATGTGTACTCTCTTGAGGACAGAGACGGCAGAATTTGGAGCCGCCAGGAGCCAGGAAACTGGGGCCTCTTTGTTCAAACGCGAGAATGGCTGGGCCAGGCTCAGGTTCCTGTTTGTTGACAAGGAGCCCTGATGACAGATTCTCAAGCCCAAGACTTTTTTTTTTTTTTTTAAAATCTGTCCACCAAAAGTAACAGGGATATAAGAATGTTTTTATTATAAATCTGCCAATATTTTGATTCACTCATTTGCTTTGTGAAATATTCAGATAGACACACACTCAAGTGTTATAGATAAACATTTTCTGTACAATATTTTCTAGCAAGTGAAGTATTATCCCTCTAATATTTATCTGGAAAGGAGAGGCAGCTGTATCTATTAAATTACCGTTTTGGCTTCAAAGCTGCCGAAACCATGCCTTTTAATGTGTATTCTTTCGTACCTGTTAGCCAAATGCCAACATTCTTTAGCTTCTTTCCTCTAAATTCCCTTAGGTTTTGCTATATTCAGTAACCTTACCTGTCAATTTGTCTCCAGTTTCCTCCCATACGCACACTGTTTTTGAAAACCGATAATGAACAAACTCAAAACAAGTGTCCTCCTTTGAACTTCTGTTGATTCCACCATTAAAAATGACTATATAATCCTGCTCTATTAGGTCTTAGCCAGTTTCTAAAAGAAATATTTATTAATGTCCCTTCAATTTATCAGGCAAGAACTTTTTTTTTTTTTTAATATTGGTTGCATAGGTTTTTGGCTATGTTTCAGAAAAATCTTTTGACCACTAAAATTACTACATGCTACATATTCAACACATCAGTAATGAAAATAAGGAAAAAAACCCCTACCTTTTCTTGCCAGCACTACGCCAGCTAAGCCTGATATTGTAATTACACCAACTTTGGGAAGAAATTCTGGTGGTGGATTCTTCAGGTAAACATAAGCATCTTAGAATTAAAAAAAAAAAGAGGAAGAAAAAAACAGAAGCATAGCAATTCAGAATTAATCCTTTTATTTTATTTCCCACTTGAAAAATAAAGATGAAAGTAATATTACAAATATCCAAAACTCAAAACAGTCCAAGACTGGATTGTTTTGTTAATGAATGAAGATGCCTTATTTTCCAGGTGTACACTCTGCAGCCTGTGTTAGACAGAATGAGAATCACGGTCCTCAAAGCACAGCAGCAAAGCTAAAAATTTTTCTCCTTAGGTACTTTTTTATGTTTTGTAAAATATTAGTCCTTAATAAAGGAAAAGGAAAGCATAGTTTTAACTTTTGATTTTACTGTGAGTTAATATAGATTAAATGAGACAATGCATATTTTGGTATCTCCCAATATACTATTTTTAAGGAAAATAACTTCTAGATATAGTTTCTGATACTGAGCTTGAATGCAAATCCTGCTTGTAACTTGTGCTAGAATTAAGAAGCCATTTTTATAATTAAGACAGGTTGTGGAATTTCCATCCCTGGAGATGTTCAAGACCTGACTGGACAGAGACCTACGCAACCTGCCTTGGACCTGCTTTAAGCAGGTGACTGGACTAGACAATCTGTGGATCTATAGAGATTCCAACTTCAGTGATTTTGTGATACTATGATTTTAAGAACAAAGCTAAAATCAAAGGAATGAGAAATACTATTTAATTGGCCATTTCTCTCATTTGAGAATGGAAATGAAACTCCACAGTGAATTACCAGCGGTCCCAGGTTTTTTTTCCCCCCACACTTGTGGAAAGTATTCCAGGGCACTCCCCTTCCACCCCTCCCCCCTCTAACTAGAATTTGCTGTTTCAACCACCTTTCTAAGTTGCAAGGAGAAACAACAGAAAATGCTCAATTCAGAAACACTTGACTCGCCTACCTTTTCCAAATTGAATTGAATCCATTATTCCATTTTTAACAAAGACAAAAGCATCCTACAAAAAACAAAACAAAAAAACCTCAGCAAAATAAATGTCATATGTTTGCAAAAGTAGATGTTTTCAGTACAAAACTACTTGGTTGATACATAAGGCTCAGCACAGTCAGACAAGGAAGTATTATGTAACTTTAAAACCACACAAACTAGATCAGTGAACTTCTACAGAGGCTGTGCTAAGATCCATCCCCTTTTTGACTACTATATTTATATTTTCAAAATTTCCATCCATATTTAATTTTAAAAAATCTTTTTAATATAGTAAGATCACTTCCAGAATTGACATCTCAGGAACCAAACTGCAGGGTAGCAAAACATCTGGATGCCAACTGTGTAACAGAAGAAAATTCAACTATAAAATACTATCTCCTCTTCCCTAGAGAGACTTACCCAGTAAAACTGACTTTGTCTTTTAATTTGTAAAAATGGTGCTCAGTTTCGCTAAAGATAAGCAATACTGATTTGGCTTAAGATGTGTGCTCAACTAGTTTGCTTTACTCCCCTCAAATCGGTCAATTTATTTAATCACAAGTTTTTTCTTCATCCAGAAAAAAATCTACTAGCCTATTATTGGTATCATTGTCCTCAGATAGCTAAGCAAACTGAGTAAATACACATTCTTTAGGAGAGTAATGAAAAAGAATGTCATCTTGAGTTATGTCACCGAAATCATTTGTTTGCAGTAACACAGAATTTGTACCACCAGAGGTCACTGCTAGTCAATCTCCGAAACACTCACTTGATTAAGGGCATGGAAAAGTTTGATACAGATTTATAACTCAATTATTTCAGTTACGCAGTCACTGACAAAATTTTCAGACCAATGGAATCAAAATTTACAGAAAATACAGGAAGATATTTTTATTTCCTTGCCTTTTTCAAATAATAGGGTCTATTTTGTTTGTAAGAGAAAAGTACAAGCATAAAATGCCTTATACTAACAACAATGAGAGTAAAAAGTTGTCCTTTACCAGCAGTTAAAGAGAATGGTGACAGGCATCGGGTTTTCTTCTATGCTTAGAGTATTCAGTAACAGAGTTGCAAGGTATTTTTGATGACTAGTTAGTAACAGCCTGCTTTAACAGTTACATTGGATGCACTCAGTTTGTCTTTCCTAAACTACCTACATCAGGTCTTTTAACCTGCCCTTTGGAAGCAGCCTGCTCTCTCCGTGAACCGTACCTGGAATTTCAGACTCCTAAATGCTGTCAAGTTCTGCTAGCAAGAATTTACCTACGTAACTCTTGCTGTAGAAGTTAACCAAGAGATACTTCTGAACCTGACATTGTGGGTTGGCCTAGATCCAGCTCAGCATTGACTGAAATGGACCTCTTTGATCTCACTGCCTTTTGATATGGGAAAACAGGGAGAATGCACAGGTTCCCCGTTACAAGCACAGCAGAGAAAAATGAAAAAAGGGTACATTTTTGCATCTTAAATTATAGGTGTCTGCTAATAGAAGGAACTGCAAAAAAAACAACTCCAGGGTGAAGCATGCTGGTTTTAAAATGTTTTTGTCTAGTGCTGTCAGGAATTGCAGGAAACTTTGGATGCAGGTATTTCTTACCTTGCACCATCCAATATAGCGGCCGGTTGCCTGTCTTACTGAAGAAAATTGCTTCTGCAAGTGACCAGGCTGTTCTTCAATGTATTTTGATTTTAGAGGTGGTGGACAGTAAATTGGAAGCTGGAAAGAAAAGCATAACTGTACTGTGGGGAGATAGTTTTGTATACTGATTAGTATTTACACTGAATAGTGTTTTTCAAGACTGCAAATCCTTAGTGTTCCCATTACAGCAAATAAAACCTCTGTACTGAATTACGCTCTTTTATATTAACAAAATTACTTTACACAAGTGTGACTACAGGTTAATTCTTTAGAAATGAAAACTGAAAGTATCATATAGGTTCTAAGAAGTAGAATTACTGAGTATGATAAAAATATCTTGTATTCTGAAAAAGCATGAGCAAGAATAGTTGGAAGATGCACAAATGTATTACTAGAAATTGTACAATAGAAAAAGACTATTATTATAAGTACTATACTCTTTACCTTTTCTGGCTTTGGTCTGGACATAATGTATTTATGAAAATGAGATAAAACTTTACTAACTATTGTAATACTTCATGTTTTATTTGTGCTATAGTGGTCAGTTATTTAGGAGGTAATTTTTATTATCACATATTACTTAGCTATGTATTTTATCTACTGGGTAATATAATTGAAAATTCAATGGAAAGAGATGGTATTCTGCAGATTCTTCTAGTATTATTTTGAAGACTGACAAACAGTAAGATTCTTACCTGATTTGGCTTCACCAGCTGACCTTTTGATTCCTTTTCTGTTGCTGCATATACAGTAATACATGCAAATGGCAGACCAGAAGAAACAGCTGCCAGCTTTGCCACCTGAGCCAGACAGACGAAAAAAGGGAGTCTTAATGCAGAAATAAAAAATTCACTCCAGTAAAATCTGGATTTTACTCTTGTGTTATGCTTGATCAAATATGGAATTAAACATGTCACTTCTAAAAACTTTTTAAAATAGTATACTTTTCAGAAACCTCTTCTGTCTTAGACAAAGGTTTTCTCAAATTACAATGGTAAAGAAAAAGCTAGAGATCACCACCACCGGCGGTTATGACTAAAATATCAGGAAGAATTTTGTGTCCAAAGCCATATTGATGCTTCCATCATCCCTTAAGGTAAATTTAAGTTCTAATCTATTCAACATACAGGTAGTCCAAGTCAATGAATGACTCTCTTATTTCAGCAAAAAGCACCTCTATTTTATTTACATTTATGACTAACATGACATCAGAAAAACACCATCTCCTGTCCAATTCATAGAATGGTTCAACTACTGTCTGTTTGGAATAACTGCATGTCAACAATAAATGAAAATACATAGCAATAACTGGAATTAAGAATCACCTGCTTAACCTTTTGAATCACATATGTTACAAAGTAAATTACAGGAATACAGGTTTAGTCATGATAGCTTGATGTCTACTTAGAACATTAGTTTGGAAAGAAAACATCGTATATGACACAAAGTTTAAACTCAAATACGTGAACTTCTGTAAATTACTGCTTTAAGACTCCAGTCAGAAGTGGCATTAAGCATGCTGGCATGCCATATATTAAAAAAACTTGCCACAACATGTTAAAGCATCTGCAACTTTGGTAGATTATGGTTTCTTCTATATCAATAAAGACTTTTCTGTTATGTTCTTCACCTGAAACATTTTTGAAACTTATTTTTAAAGTATGAAAAATGTTCCCAGGATCTGCATAGAGATGATGGTGGTAGAGTGCCAGAAAAATAGAAAAGCAGGGAAAAAACAACTTGATTTGGGGAAATACCTTAAATCCCTAGTATAAAACTCCACTATATCCTCATTGTTACCTCAGCTTTCAATTGGAAATACCCTGTCAAAAGAGCAGGATTTGCTCCACAGCGTTTAGTTATAATAGTGAAAACAAAATAAACATGAATAAAGGCAAAAGCACCACCCTGAATTAGCTCAGGTTCATCAGACATCAATCACATGCAGATTAAACTACTCAAGACAGCAAAACACCATCACTTCTAAACCATGCTATCATCATATCAAAACTTTCAGATCATACAATCACAATGAAACACAAAGCCGTAGGAGAACAAAGGAGGACACTGCTATGATGAGAGAGAGGACTGTTACAAAAGAAGGGGCAAGCAGACAATGCCAGAGCTGAAAGCCGTAGGATAAAGCTAAAAATGATTCTTCACTTGCATTTTTTCGCATGGGGGGCTAAGGGGAGGAAGGGTTACTTAAGGTTTCTCTACAGTAACGGTCTATTAATATATAGTTTTCCTGCTCTTAACATACAGCCAATGTGCCCCTTCCCTCTTCTTGGAGCATAAAACCTTCCTGTCAGCATAATTACAGCACCGTCCTAAAAGTCTGCTAGTGGCTACTATTTATTTCATGCTTTTCTTCAATATAGAAACAGTAGGAAAATGTGTAGGACTGAGCTCATTTTGCTTCAAGAAACAGAACCCCACCTCTTTTTCTCTTCAGGCCAGGTTGACATGACGACATTTTTGTAACACAGCTATGTCAGCTGGAAGCGTCAAAAAAACGCGCGACTCCAGCACAGCTAGGCTGGCAACCCTCAGCTGGCAAAGCCATCACTGTAAACGCAACCATGCTGACCGGCATGTACCATTCTCTTAATTTACAACAGTGACACCCCAAACTACTTTACCTTTGCAGACAAAGTATAAGAGGCCCGGGGGGCACTGATACAGAACTGCTAGACATGGCCACTAGATGAAAGCTGGGGATACAACTCCGAGGAACTTGCTGCATCGGGAGTCCCAGCCAGGGGAGACGAGGACAGCACAAAAGCAGAGGCTGAGCGAGCTCCTTTTCCCACAGAGGCTGACAGGCAGGGCAGTGACTCAAAGGCAAGAACTTGGGATAGCTGTCGCCCATTTCCTCACCTGGGGACGGAGGGAGGGTTTACACGCACACAGGTGCGGGAGCAGACACCTTGCAAGTTAAGCCAACACCACGTCTGGATTTGGAGCGGGGCAGAGGGGGAGATACCAAAAATTGTGTTACTAAAGAACCATGTTTTCCCCATGTTGACCTAGCTATGCTGGCAAGCGCAGACACGGTCAGAAGGAAGATGGAAGGTGGTACCACTTCCAGCAACCTAGAGAGAAAAGTTCTACAGATGTGAAAATACAGCCACGCAGATATCATGTGCGTTGACCAGCATTGTGAAAAAGTTCCGTTAGTCACATGTTGACAAAAGGTTTAACATATGATGTTATTTAACGTTAAACATCAATGATCTAACACACTTAGTACAACTTAGGTTACAACTGCTATACGGAGGACCACTTGCCATTTGGCCTTTCAGTGCCTAACATGACCACCTCAGCAGAAAAAGTCACCAAGAGGCTCTGTTGTCTCAGCTGTGCCCAGCACAGGAGAGCAGCTCTCCTAGCACTGAACAGCCCCAGGGCACAGAAAATAGGTGAGAGAGGATGGCACTAATCAAAATATGAACCAATTAACACAGTAACTGTCTTTCTGATAGCATTGCTTAGAGCAAAATGCCACAGTCTGAGCTACAGGAGATTATCTACAAAGGGACATCCGTCCTCAAAAAAAGTCTGTATTTTTGAAGAATTATTAAAGAAAACTGTTTAAAACGTATTGTAATTCAGATGGCTTATTTCAGCACAAGATGCTACCACGACAAGATACCAATTTTCAGTAGATACCAGAAGGAAAATAAAATTTAAAAGGGAGAAGCGAGAAAGCATGAAAACGTTATATTGTTCACTTAACAAATTTGATTAATTCATTTTAAAGAGTCACAACAGAGTACATTGTGCTAAATGTAAAAGAGAAAGCTATACCAGGAACAATGAAAGTGGTCCAATTCCTGACTGACAGTAATTGCTTTACTTTTGGATGCCTGAAGACAAATGCATAAATATTTAAAAATCCAAGTGAACAGCTGTACTATCTAACATTTATGCTGGCACAATTATTCCAAGAAGGTTTCACTCTTTTCCACTGAAATCACAAAGAACTGGGGTGAAGGAACAGCAACATCACCTTGACTACATAAAAAGAGACTTCACTACACTGAGTTGCCTATCCTCTTCCTTTATCTAATGACTAGGTATATTAAAAATACCTCAATTAGCTAAGTTGTTTCTTATTATTAAAATTATTTTATTAAAATTATTTCAAGGGATATTACGTATTAAAACAAGGAAAATCATCCACTGTTTAGTTAAAGAAATTAAAAGATATTTTACCTATGAAGTCTTCTAAAAGAAGTTATTGAGAACTAAGAAATGGCAGGATCATGTAATTATATCAAAGACTAGGAAAGAAGTACAGAGAAAAACATCTGCAACAAGCTTGAGCTGTAAAAAATGCCAGAACTGCATGGTCAACCAGTAGAATGACTCCAGAACATCAGTCAGTAACTGATTCAAAACCAAAAATGTTCTTTAATGAATTCAGGAAATATTTTACTTTTTTTTTTTTAATTGAAATAGTTCAACAGCTGCTCTGCATTTTACTACTAGTTCTGTTTTTATCTGAATTAATGCTCTGACCTAAGCCCTATGAAACTAACAAAAGAAAATCACTCAGTCCCTAATGGCAACAGACGTAAATACCAGCAGCCATAAAGCCATGAGCCCAGATGACATATTCTGGAGAAAAATTCAATATGAACATAGATCTAAACATCACCAGAATTACAGCTATTAGAAATTATCAGCCGCAATGCTCTGGACAGGGAGTGGAGGTCAATGGTAAAAGAAGATTTCCACTAATACCAGTGCCATGCTACTGACACTGGCATCACGCTGCAATATGTACCACCCATACACTGGTTCTTCTCACAGGCATAAAAAGCACCCTGTTTATTTCAAAGCAGTAAATAGTGCGGACTAACAGACACGGCATTATTTTTGATGGGAAGACTGAACAGCAATTATTTGCTGAAGAAATGTATTATATGCTCTCTAGCAGAAAATTGTTACAGCTATGCCTTTTATTAGTAGAGCTAGAGTAAAACTAATCAAAATATAAAACTGTCAAATGTACCCAGATAATTTTGGCTTTAAGTCTTTGCATTTCAAACAATCTACTTCAAAGTGTTAGAATCTTATCAAAGATCAAAAATACAGATTCTAAAAAAAAAATTAAAAAGCTACATCACTAAGAAGAATTCACTATCTTCAACTCAAAAGATGCAGAATACAAACTAAAGCATAATAAAACCATATATTTAATTTATGCTAATCTCCAAGACATTAAGTATTGTTTCTAACTGAAACTCTGTAAATTCTGTATACTTGCTTCAAGAATTGGAGCACAAATAAGGAAACTTGCCTTGAAGGCAGGAACAAGCCTCAAAGCAAAAACAGGTAATCAAAGGAGTAGGCTATATGCAAAAAACTGATGCATGTATGTGTGTTTATATATATATATGCCATGCCTTCTCTACCACAAAATCAGAATCTACTAGCCAGATTAAAATAAGATTAAAATTTTAGCAGCTACTACATGTCATATTTTCAGTGGAGAGCTGTTCCTCAAGGAATAAGAGGCATGGATTTATGGTTTCCTGCTACCACTTACATGTCTTGAGGTAGAACAGAAAACCGTCTCAGATTCTTTTATTTTTCCCAGAAGTTACATGAGATGTGACAATTGTCAGAAGTTTCTAGGCCAAATCCAGTACTTTAATTTGGATATGTATTTCTTTATAAATCTCTAGTGACAACTACAAAAAAACAGCACACAAGTGGAACAGAGCATCCTTCCACTTCACCTCAACTTACTGACACCCCACAGATTTGTTTTTCATCTTTGTCTGCCAGACGGTAACCCACAGAGAGTGAAAACTTAAGAAGAATAAAACTCGCACAAACTTCTGTCACTTCACTAGAGGTACTGAATTACTCGAATTTATGTACTAAACTATATGCTACTTCACAATCAGCTAGGCATACAGTGAAGCCAAATAAGGTTTCTTTTTTCAGGTACTTGTCTCATAACTAAGGTAAAATGATCCATTTTCATTCCTTTGGCTGTCCTCATTTGCATCATCTTTTTCTTTGCAGATATGTACATATTTTAAATGAAGATTCATGTGAGAGCAACCTATTCATTGATTTGACTACAAAGACTGGAAAACCTAAGTAATTGAGAGAAAGCCTAACTCTTTACAGGCACACTTTTCTTCCCTGTTTAAAGACACCGTAGTACCTCTACAATTAAAGATATTTTTGGTACTTATGACCCCGTTGGTCTCGAAGAGCATTATTTTAACACCCTTGTTTTACTGATGCATAACACCACCACACTTCACAATGCTACTACCGAACGAGTATCTTCCTATCTCATCTCCCAAGTAAGGAGCAGAAGGCGTTTCAGAAGCTGTAATCAGATGGAGAACAACCAGAAGAGAAATACTTCTTTTATTCCCTGCTGTACGACTTAACCACCGCCTTGGACCAGCCCTTTCTACCTCAAGTTCTGCAACGGAGAAAGCAGTTCTGAGACCTCTTACTTTCCTACTCCCCCTTCATCTGAGCCCTCGGTTACAGGCTGAGCGGTCCCCGCTCCGAGGAACTACCACCATCTAGTCAATCCCCCCCCACGCCGGAGTAGAGCAGTTGCGGAGCCAACACCGAGTTCAGCCCCGGGGAAGGGCCGTGCGGGGCGACCACCAGCGCGGGCCGGGGCAACACCACCCCGAACAGCCCGGTGGGCCCACCCGCCTCCCGCCCTGCGGACCCCGCGCACTCCCAGCCCTCCTCCCGACCCCCCGACCGGCCAGCTCCGCGTGTGACCCGCCGGCAGAAGGGGCTCCTTCCCTCTCCTCAGCCGGCGGGGTGCCCGGCGAGGCGCGGAGCTGCCGGCCCGGCAGTCCGGCTCTGACAGGACGCGAGCCTGCCGGGCGGGCCGCGCTCTTCTGGGAGCTCCCGCGGGGGCTGGCGGAGCCGCGAGAGACCCCACGGGGCG